GTCCCAAATTTGATTGGCGTAGCTCTATGTAATAAAACTATTTCAGGAATAACAATTATGGACGCGTCTATCATTATGGCAAGCACTAATGTTATTCGTATTCAATTGATAACGCAATAATTACATAATATTTAGTGAAAAAACCGCCCATCATGTTTAGGGCGAATATTTTTAGTTAGATTTGATTTCGCGCGATCGTGAAATGTGTCAACTGTCACATGACTTATGGGACGCGCTAAGTTTGTTTTAAGCGTCCGATTCGCGTACGACATAGTGGTTAATGCAATAAAAAGAGATAGAACATGTTTATTCTTGGTTAGAAAGTAATGGAGAGATGTACAAATTTCTTTGATATGTTTTTTAAAAACCGAGGTACGTTTGTTAAGGATGGCTGTATCTAGGTATTTATATATCTATGCTTTTTGATTTGTGATGCATATAAATAAAATAATTGCTGCTTCTAAACGACTGCATTCTTCAATAAATGGGGCCAAAAAATTGTTAGCACTTGCGGGTTTTGTTTCTCCATAATAAAGAGATACAACTATTGGCTTTTTATCAATTGCTTGGTCTAAAATACAAAGTAGTGGCCAAAACGACTTTGTTGTACTTGAATGCAAAGGTAAGCCATCAACATTTACAGAGATAGACAAAAAGTGATTGGGAGAAACATTTTTCATTTTCATTTTTTGTTCTATTAGAGGATAATTATTTGAGAAGATTAACCCAGATTGTGATTTTTTCTCTAAATTATTTTGTAGTCAAAAATAAACAAATGAACCGTCATCACAACTAGTAATATCAACAACTTTTGGAGTATGTAATAAAGTTCTAGACTCCATAGGTAAGAAAGCATGATGAGGTTTTAGTATATGTAATAAGTCCGTAAGAGCAGTATGGGTGACGTTATGATTTTTAGACCATTTAATTATATTTTCTATAAGGTCGTTATCTTGAACATCGTCTTTAGCATCCAAATTGACAGATACAACAGAGCCACTATTGCTACTCGACTTCAAATAATTAATATCTAAATGAGTTTCATTTTCAGTTACACTAAGCCTAGGTTGTACTATCTAAATTTGATACATGATTTGAAACATGTACACCATTGTTAAATTAAATTTGCCGCTTTCATTATTTCCCCCACCGATCTTGTACTTGTATGACTATGATGCGCACCATGCGCTCGCTCTCTTTTCGCTGCTGTATGTCAACCCACAATGTACTAATAAAGTACTGCTCTTTTTGTTATTACGCTGCCTTTATTCACAACCCCAAACTTAACAGGTTATGGGCCCAGAGGGACACACGTAAGTGAATAAAAAGTAAATTTGTTTTACGAGTGCAATTAGCGAAAATGAGTGACAAGGTCGACATTGGTTCCGTCAATAAGTTTGACGGTAAGAACTACCACCAGTGGAAGTTCCAGTTGAAATGCGCGTTAAGAGCAAAAGGTGTTTTCGAAGTAGCCAGCGGAGAAGTAGCCAAGCCAAATGCCGATCCAGCTAACGTTGAAAATTTAGAACGGTGGAATAAAAAGGACGCCATTGCAATGTTTACACTCACCTCCGCAATGGAATTGGGGCAGATTACCTTGGTCGAAAACTGCGCAAGTGCGAAGGAAATTCTTAACAAGATGGATTCCATATATCAACAAAACACAGAAACGAATAAAATGATCCATCAAGAGCGATTCCATAATTATTATATCACGCCCTTCGCCCTCTATGATCAAACTGTAGTACTTCCTACTTGCTACACGCTTACCACACTTAAAAGCAAGGAAAAAAAAAGTCCCTATAATTGCTCCCCAACTGCAACCAGCTGGTAACAAAACGTCATTCTTTTTATTTGTGGTTACGCTTACCACGTTTGTTTTTTTTACGCTTTAGATTTTATTTATTTTCATCGGTTTTTGTTTTAGCATGAGTATCTCTAGTGCGGAATCGTGTCGAAATTCTCACACTAGTAGTTCGAGATCCAAGTTTGATTTAGTTATCGATAAATTATCCAGATTAGAAGAGAGAATTAATTCGCAAGAACGGCGTGGCCGTCGTCGCCGCCATAAGCGACGTCACCGTAGGAGGCTTGAGTCCTCTGGAAGTTCGACTAGCCGAGATCGTTCGCCGGTGAAGGTGCTTCAACAAGCTCCTGTCGAAGGTTCTTTAGTACCAGGTTAGTTAACCTTCGGTACATGGAACGATTTATTGCGTTTATAACCTCAACTGCTGTTGTAGTTGAGAGAGGAAGTTAGTTAATTTCCTTATGTTATATGCTCTCATAATCCTCTTCTGCTGTTGCAGTTGAGGATGGAATATATTTTATTCCTTTTATGTTGTCAACTTTCTTGAGCATTTGTAAAAAACCATTTTTTGTTAATATGGTTTTTTTTTACAGAAACTGTGTTTGTTGAACCAGAGCCCTTTATCCCAGTAAATGTATTTATTGGGCAGCGAAGAGACATCCGTTATTTTTGGACCTCCTGTTCAGCAGGAAATTGTGTCTCGTTGGGCTCCTGTCTTGAAGAATGGCCTGGTTACTGACACTCGTTCGGCTCTTATGGAAAAATATCTTACACCGTCTAATTTTACGGCAGTTAAAGCGCCTAAAATTAATCCTGAAGTCAGGATATCTGCGACAGAGGCTTGTCAGAAGAGAGACGAGAGATTATCTGCTTTACAAAACCAAATTGGGTGCTGTATTTCGGCTTTAAGCAGAGCTGTTTCTGATTATGCTAGTCGTCCTGATTTGGATCAGCATCATTCTTTAATTGAAATACTGAGCGACACTGGCAGATTGTTAGCAGATGTACATCATTCACAGTCGCAGTCTAGAAGAGCTCTTTTAGCTATGGGTTTTAATAATACTGTTAAAAACACAGTCCAAGAGGCTCCGATTGATGAATTTCTTTTTGGAGCTGAGCTAAATACTCGTATTTCTTCGGCAAAGTCATTAGAAAAGTCTAGCGCTGATTTAAAACCAGTGAAAACTGCAAAATCTGTGTCAAAAAATGTGAAGCGCCCGTCCAAAAACACGTACAAGGATGCCCGTCAGGACGGAGCGCGCCAACAGGGGCTCCCACATCGGTACCAGTCGAATCGTTACCATTCAAACCGCTCCCAGTTCCAACAAAAGAAGTCAGGGACAATTTACAAAGGAAAATACAAGCAGTACAACTCTCGTCACCATCAGGATTAAATGTAAGCCATCATGCTGGACGTCTAAAATTTTTCTTGCCTTACTGGCAAGAAATTACTAGGGACCCTTTAGTGCTCTCTTGGATTAGGGGATATGAAATCCCTTTTGTGCGTACACCTGTACAGGCGGTTGCGCCGATTGAACCTGGTTGGTCAGTTTCGGAAAGGAAAGATATTTCTTTTTTAATTAACCACATGCTCCAAATTGGAGCGATTTCACGAAATAATCCAAGTTTGGATCAATTTGTTTCACCATTTTTTTTAGTTAGTAAGCCAGATGGTTCAAGACGATTTATTTTAAATCTAAAAAAGCTTAACGAGTTTTTAGCTCCCGAGCATTTTAAGTTAGAAAATAAGGATACTGTTCTTAAACTATTAACAGAAAACTGCTATATGACTTTAATAGACCTTAAAGAGGCATATTTTTTGATTCCTATTGCACATGAATATAGGAAATTTTTACGTTTTATTTACGATAAAACTATTTTTGAATTTAATTGCTTACCTTTTGGCTTGAGCACTGCCCCATTTGTATTTACGAAACTTTTAAAGCCTGTCGCTTCTTTTTTGCGCTCGCAGGGTCATGTTTCAGTTATCTATCTTGATGATTTTTTGTTAATTGGCGAATCTTTTTCTGCTTGCGAATATAATACGCATAAAACCATCTCTCTTTTAGAGAGACTGGGGTTTATTATTAATTATAAAAAAAGCAGTCTGCTAGCTAGCCAGACTTGCAAGTTTTTGGGGTTTTTGTTTGACTCTGTTAAAATGAGAATTTTTCTTACATCAGATAAGCAATTGGCTATAAAAAACTTAGCCACTGAGCTCAAGGCTCGTAAATCTTGCAAAATACATGAATTTGCTCGATTTTTAGGTATTTTAACTGCGGCCTGCCCGGGTGTGGCTTACGGTTGGGTTTATACCAAGCGTTTTGAGAGAGAAAAAGCGTTGGCTTTACATCATAGCAATGATAATTTTAACCAAAATATGTCAATTTCTCAGGCAATAGTTGCAGATTTAGACTGGTGGCAGAAAAATGTTATCGGATCTTTTAATCCTATTCGTCGATACAATTTTTCAATCACAATTTCTTCGGATGCATCAAAATCTGGTTGGGGAGCCGTTTGCGGTCCTCAAAGAGCCAATGGACATTGGAAAAAAATCGAGTTAACGTACCACATTAATCAACTAGAGTTATTAGCCGCATTTTTTGCCTTAAAATGTTTTGCCTCGGATTTCCATGACTGCGAGATATTATTAAAAATAGATAATACCACGGCTATTGCTTATATTAATCGTTATGGGGGTACTCAGTTCCCACATCTGGCTGACGTTGCTAGGGATATTTGGCAATGGTGCGAAAAACGAAATATTTGGATTTTCGCATCTTATATTTCATCTTCCAAAAATTTTGAAGCTGATTTGGAGTCTAGGCAATTAAAAAAGGAAACTGAGTGGTCCCTTTCAGATGAAGCCTTTGCAAAAATTACTAGTATTTTTGGTAAACCTGATATCGATTTATTTGCGAGTCGAGAAAACACTAAATGTACATTATTTGTTTCTTGGAAGAGAGATCCTGACGCTCTAGCTATTGATTCATTTACTATTTGTTGGAAAAATTATTTTTTCTATGCTTTTCCCCCGTTTTCGCTAGTCACCCGTGTTTTGCAAAAGATTGTTAAGGATAAGGCTAAGGGCATAGTTGTGGTCCCTTATTGGCCTTCCCAACCATGGTTTCCCATGTTTTTAACACTTTTACTTACTGATCCAATTTATTTTGAACCCGATCCTAATTTATTATTTTACGACAGGTTCAAACATCCGTTGGCACACCAACTTACCCTGGTGGCAGGGCTCTTATCGAGCAAGGACTAAAAAGAAGACGCATTCCTTCACCTTCAAGAGAAATAATGCTGTCTTCAATAACGAGCTCTACGTTGCGCCAATATAATGTAGGACTTCGTAAATGGTGGGATTTTTGCTTCAAACAGCGTATAGATGTTTGTGATCTGGACGTTCCTAAAATTATAAGTTTTTTAACATCTGAATTTAAAAACGGCGCTTCATATGGCTCGCTTAATAGTATACGATCGGCCTTGGCACTTCTAATTTCACCGAATGTGGGCTCAAATGATAATGTACAGAGATTTTTCAAGGGTGTATATAATCTCAGACCGGGTAGACCTAAATATGATACCACTTGGGATCCCCAGGAGGTTTTAAGGGTGTTAGAAAAGATGACAAACTCCGACATTACTATTGAAAGGCTTACAAAAAAGTTAGTAATGCTTTTGGCCTTGTCAACTGGTCATCGCATTCAAACCCTTTCTTTGATCAAGATTGACAATATTATTAAAAAATCTAACGCTTTTGAAATAAAAATCTCGGATCGAATTAAAACTTCGGGTCGGCAACGCACTCAACCTGTTCTTTTTGTTCCTTATTTCAAAGATAAACCTCAGTTGTGCGTAGCAAGTTGTCTTGACTCATATCGATGGGTTTTTGGCAGAACATCGTAAGCGACATATTTGACAATTTTACGTTTTTTGGTGTAAACTGTCGCTTACGATAAGCGGAAGGTCCCTGCAAAACATCATAAGTAAATAATTAACCGTTTTCTTTCAATTTAAAAAAGAAAATTATCGTAAGCGCCAAATTTTATAAACAAAGCCTGTCAAAACATCGTAAGCGAGGACCTTTTACCGGCAGAACATCGTAACTGTTACGAAAATTAGGAGAACGTGGCGCTTACGATAGAAATTCCTAACCGTGTCGGGCGCTTGCGTCATTATGGCTGTTTGTTGATCAGGTAATGGTGCTGTTTGATTTGTGGCTAGTGACTACTTATTCATTTTTAAGCGTAGACTTGGGTGAGTTTTGCAATTTTATGTAATGTAGAAATTAGAAACTTTAATCATTATTTATAAGTAATACGTTGCTATTTTATAAATGACAATAATGTTTGGTGTAGGAAATGGCCTCGTTACGAAGTAAACATTTGGTACAGTTAGCATTAAATACTGAACGCAGCGGAGATTTAGATCAATTAGATCAAATCCCCTCTATGAATGGGGAGAACGTCGATTATGAAAACATGTTTATGACCAGTTCAGATGCTTTTGACATAGACAATATTCCAATTATTATTGCGGAAAACGATGATATAGCCACTCAGCATTTAGGGCAATTATTTGTCGATAATAACTTAGTAAATGCCCCTTTATGGTCTGAGGTAGATGAGCACAATGAACGTCAGATAGAAACAGGAATATTGGAAGAATCTATCGATAGTACTAATACCTATTTAACACGCCTGGTAGATTATTCGTCTAGCTCAGAATCGGAACCTGAACAAAAAACTTCAAAAATAAAATCCAAATTTAAACGATTTGATTCTGACTTGTCCTTTAATGAAGTAAATAACCAATATGCTACTGATTCTGATGTAGAAGAACCGATGGATGAATTATTAACAGAGATTGTTGGAGAATCCGGTTTGAGAAAAGCTAAGTCACCCAATAAAAGGCACACACGAAGGATTCAAAAACTTTTGGGCGCTGGGAAGTCTGTGCAAGACAACCCTTGTAAGACCAAAAAATGTCAAAACTCTTGCGCAAAAAAATTCACTGAACAACAACGCCATGAAATTTTTGAATTTTATTGGGGTTTAGGAAATCTTCAAAAGCAGCGAGATTGGATTTTGCTGTGCATCGAAGAAAAGAATATAAAGAGAAGACGTAGACGTGATGTCGAAAACAGCAGAAGAGTCAGAACCTTTAAGTATGTCATACCATGGAATGAAGAAAAAACAGAAGTTTGCCAACAATTCTTGTTGAAAACTCTATGCATATCACAAATGACGTTGAGGTATACGAAAAACAATGCGGTAAATTTTACATGTGCTAAAACGGATAAACGAGGCAAGCACGAACCTCACAATAAAACGTCATTACAGGATAAACAGCTGGTTCATGAATTTATTAAAAAATTACCTGCAGTACCATCACACTACTGTAGAGGTAGCACCGTAAAGAAATATCTACCTACAGAGTTGAGGAATGTATCTTTTTTATACAGAATTTTTAAAAAGGATACCTTAGAATACCTCAAAATAAAGACCAAAATATCTCTAAAGGTGTTTCGAGAGATTTTCTCCAACGATTTTAATATAGGATTTCATCTTCCTAAAAAAGATAAATGCTCTACATGCGAATCTAGAAAGGGTCAACAGTTTACATTTTCAGCAGAAGATGAAAAACGTTACGAAATTCATTTAAAACACAAAGAAGAAAGTAAAAAACTATTTTTGTCCGATCAAAAAATTGCAAAGGAAGATAAAACTTTTGTATGTGCAAGTTTTGACCTGCAAAAGGTTTTAAATACTCCTCATGGTGATAATATGCTGTTATATTACTCACGGAAATACGCGGTATACAATGAAACAGTATATGAAAGTGGAACAAGGCGCACGTTTTGCTATTTGTGGGGTGAAACCGACGGTAATCGTGGCTGCGATGGCATCTGCACAATTATAAATAAATATTTGCAAGACGTTGACCAGCGTGTTTTTGTCAAATTCGTTGTGCTTTACTGCGATAGCTGCTCCGGGCAAAATAGAAACAGGGCCATGTTGAGTATGTTGCATCAATTTTTAAAAAGTTCCAAGAACGTCCATCATATAAAAATAGTGTTTCTTCTTCCGGGACATACGTACATGCCCGTAGACTCGGTCCATGCAACAATAGAACGCTTCATTAACAAACGCACCGTTTGGGCGCCATCGGAATGGCATACTTTAATCGCTAATGCGAGGGTTAATCATACACCTTTTGAGGTAATTAATATGAAGCATACCGATTTCATGTCTTGGAAAGAAGCGGCTAAAAATGTATTACCAAACAAAATTAATAAAACAAAAGAAGGAGAAAAAATTTTACTGAGTCAGCTAAGAATTGCTTCTTTCAAAAAAGGTGAAGATGTCATTAAAATTCAATATTCTTTTTTGGACTGCGACGGACAACAAACTGTAGAACTTCGTCAACCACGTAAATGTTAGTATAAATTATGATGTTTTATAATAAATGCTTATGCTTTTGTTTATAGCTAAAAGGTCAGCCAGCAGTCTCCTAGAAATGCCGAAAATAGGAAATTTATATCCATCACCGCTCCCAATTTCTGCCTTGAAGTTAAAGAATTTAATGGACCTATGTGCCAAGCGCGTGATTCCAGAACGCTACCACAAAGAATACGAAAATTTTAAGGGTACGATAGAGGTTGAAGATACATTGGCAGAAACGGATGAAGAGGATGAAAAAGTTGAAGAAGACTGAGATTTGTCTAAGCAGAGCTCCTAGAATTATGTTGTTTATTTTGTTGTTTTTATTTACTTCCATTTATAAACAATTGACCTATTTGTTTATAATTTCATTACTTCTTAGAAACAAATAGCTGAGCCTATAATTATTTAGAAATTCACATCCAGAAACGAGCAGAACATCGTATGTGTATCGTAAGCGGCTAAGATTTAAAACACAATTTTAATATTTTCTTGGCAAAACATCGTAAGAACCAAAATTGCTTAAAAAATCAAATTTTTTTTTAAAATAACCATTGTAAACGAGTTTTAATGATAAAAAAAAACGCCGTATAAAATTTCATTGCGATACGACATGAAATACAGTTGCTATCAGAAAAAGTCGTTTCCTGTAAAAAGTAACATTTGGCGCTTACGATGTTTTGACAAAACACCATCGATATTTAAGTAGGACTAGAGAATATCGCGCATCTCCAACTACAGGAAGTTTGTTTATTTCTTTTAAAAAACCGTTTCATTCTGTTTCCGTTCAAACTATAAGCAGGTGGTTAAAGGACACCTTACTGGAATGCGGGGTCGATAAAAATTATTCAGCTTACTCTACACGGCATGCGAGTACATCTGCAGCCAACCGTAAGGGCTTAAGTATAGACATTATTAGAAGAACTGCGGGTTGGACAGAGACTTCGCAGATGTTTGCCTTATTCTATAATCGACCTCTGCAATCAAAAGGAATCTTTGCTGAAACTGTGTTTTCGAAAAGTGATTAGTCTTATTAGTTATATATTTAAAATGTAGTTTCATTTATCATCTTAAGACAATATGTTGTTTTAGTTTTTACTATGATTAATCTGTCCTTATTTTAATAGATTTAAAATAAAGCGATATTTTTCTCTCTATTGTAGTGTCGCAACCTGCTTTAAACGTCGACAGTTTGATCATAGAGGGCGAAGGGCGTGATATAATCTTAAGATCAAACGAGCTTACCTAAGTGAAGTTCGATCTTGATTATATACAGCCCTTCGCCCGAAATGATCACTCCCGCCCTCCCTCTTATTAGACCCTGATCATTTCTTGGTTGCGACCAGAGTTCTACTCGTCTGTGCTTTAAAAAGAAATGACGTTTTGTTACCAGCTGGTTGCAGTTGGGGAGCAATTATAGGGACTTTTTTTTTCCTTGCTTTTAAGTGTGGTAAGCGTGTAGCAAGTTGGAAGTACTACAGTTTGATCATTTCGGGCGAAGGGCTGTATATAATCAAGATCGAACTTCACTTAGGTAAGCTCGTTTGATCTTATGATAAAATGGATCTGAACGATTCGGTAGCATTGCACATTTCAAAAGTTGAAAATCTTGCAAAACAAGTGCGTAATTCTGGAGACGTGGTAAGTGACACCGCAGTGTAATGACTAAAGTATTAAGTACTTTACCACCTAAATTCAAGAACGTCCGCCAAGCATGGCTATCTGTTAGTGATGACAAGCAAAATTTGCAAAATCTCACTGCACGTTTGTTAGATGAAGAGGCAAGCTTGAAGTCGGAAGAAGTTGACGAACAAGCCTTTGTAACGCAGGTTAAGAATGTTCCAACAAGCAAGAAGAGGAGGCCACCAGTAACGTGTTACAATTGTCGGGGACGGGGCCATTTCGCTCGTAATTGTCGCAATAATCGTCAACAGGAACGGTCTAACACACGAATGATGCAGCCCGATCGAACTGAAGGCAACATTTCAGCATTCACCACAGCAAAAGAGGAGCCATCGACATCCACAACAAACGGTTTAATAGTCTCGAAGGATGAAGTTTGGATTATGGATAGTGGTGCTTCGGCACACATGACATATCGGAAGGATTACTTCTCATCTTTTGAAGATAACGGTGATGGACAATCGGTTATGCTGGGTGACAACAAACGCCTCGAGGTGAAAGGATCCGGGACAGTAAAAATTCGGAAACTCGTGAACAGTAAGTGGTGTGATGCAGTTATAACAAATGTGTTATATGTACCTGATCTACACAAAAATTTGTTCTCCGAAGGTGTGTTAACCGGTAAAGGAATGAAAGTTGTGAAGGAAGCTCAACATGCGTATGTTTATGAAAATAATGTGCCAATTGCGTGGGCAATTCGAACTGTAAATAATCTGTATCATATGCAATTTAAAACTGTTATCAATACTTGTGAAGTAAATGTTACAGATGTGGACAAGCTAAGTATGTGGCATAAAAGGTTAGGTCATGTAAATTTAAAAACATTAAAAGAACTTGTCGTTGCGGGATTAATAGGTGATATTAATTTAAAAGACACTAATGAATTCTTTTGTGAAGCATGGGTTTACGGAAAGCAGCATAAGCTCAAATTCTCGAGAGTCGAACGAAGTACCAAACCGGGTGATCTCATCCACAGTGACGTGTGCGGTCCGATGTCAACGCCTTCGATAAGTGGTGCGAACTATTTTGCTTTGTTTAAAGACGATGCAACAAGTTATCGTAGTGTATATGTGATGAAGCACAAAGTAGATATTTTAGAACACTTTAAAGTATTTGCTAATCTGTGTAAAAATAAGTTTGGACATTCGATAAAGGCTTTGCATGTCGATAACGGTTCTGAATACATAAACTCTAATTTCAAAGACTTTTTACAGAAAAATGGTATCGAAATTGAAAGAACGGCTCCGTACAATCCTCAGCAAAATGGGAAAGCCGAGAGAGAGATGAGGACCATAGTGGAAAGTGCCCGCTCGATGTTGTACGAAAAAGACCTGCCTGTTGAATTCTGGGGTGAAGCTGTCAATACTGCAGTCTACATCCTAAATAGGACTCCGAACAGTCAAACATGTGGTAAAACTCCCTACCAGTTATGGACAGGTAAGCAACCTCATTTGAATCATATTCGAACTTTTGGTTGCGAGGCGTTTACTCATATACCTAAAGAGAAACGTACCAAACTGGATCGCAAGAGTAAGAAGTTGATGTTAGTCGGATACGATGGTAACTCGACAAACTATCGTTTATTCGACACGGAGACAAGGAAGATCACTATATCACGAGATGTCATTTTTAGGGAAGATTATAGTGTGCCGCAAGGAAGGGTCAATACTGTAAAAGTCGTGGTTCAGCATGCAGACGAGAGTAACGATGGAGATGATTCAACGCCGAAAGTAAATGAGGAAGTTGCAACCGAAGAAATTGCGGAGCGACAATCTTGCACGTATAACTTGAGAAGTCGTGGCAACATCCAACCACCTGTCAAATATGGCGACTACGAAGTAAATTTTGTTGAAACTGATGTTCCCAATACATACGAAGAAGCCCTGCGAAGTGAAAATTCAAGCGAGTGGAAGAAATCCATAGCCGAAGAACTTCAAGCGCACGAAGAAAATGGCACTTGGGAATTGGTGCCAAAACCAGTAGGCAAAAACATTATAGACAGCAAATGGGTATTCAAAGTCAAACGTACATCTCAAGGAGAAATTTGTAGGTACAAGGCGAGGTTATGTGCAAGGGGTTTCACACAAATTAGAGGTTTGGACTATGAGGAAACATTTTCGCCAACCACGAGGTACGATTCTATCAGAACACTACTCTCAATAGCAGCCGAACGTGACTACGAGATGGTTCAATTCGATGTAAAGACTGCTTTTCTAAACGGTGACCTTGTGGAAGAAATTTACATGACACCACCCACGGGGGCGAATATTGATCCAACTCTTGTATGCAAGCTGAGGAAATCATTATATGGACTGAAGCAAGCCTCCCGCTGTTGGAATAAGAAATTTGACGACTCATTAAAGAAATTTGGACTTCAACAATGCAACGGAGATAAGTGTGTGTACAAAGGTGAATTTAACAGTGCAAAAGTGTTACTAATACTTTTTGTTGATGACGGTTTAATTATAGGAGAGAACAAATCAATCTTAAGTGTAATTTTAGATAAACTTAAAGTTAAATTTAATATTGTAATTAACGAACCAAACTATTTTGTAGGACTGGAAATATCACGTGATCGTGCAAGTAAATCTATTTGTGTAAGTCAACGTAATTATGTTAAGCAGCTTGTCAAGCGGTTCAACTTAGAAGATGCGAAATGTTCGAGCGTCCCGGCCGATCCTCATGCTATGATGTCATCGGAGATTGGACATCAGGTGCAAAGTAATATTCCGTATCGAGAAGCTGTGGGAGCCCTCATATACATCGCTACTGTTAGCAGACCCGATATCGCATATGCAGTAGGTGTGGTAAGCCGCTATCTAAACAGTTACAGCGTGGCCCACTGGAATGCAGTGAAAAGAATCATCAGATATTTAAAAGGAACGATGGATGATGGAATCGAATACAAACCGACTTCGCACAACCGAAAATTGATTGGTTTTTCAGATGCAGATTTCGCCGGAGATCACGACACCCGGAGGTCAACGTCTGGGTACATATCCATGTTACACGGTGGTGCTATTACGTGGTCGAGCCAACGACAACAGACGGTATCGCTTTCGACTACCGAAGCCGAATATGTGGCTGCCGCTAACGCTTCAAAGGAATTGATGTGGCTACGATCATTCTTACGCGAAATCCATGAAGACGTCGTCGATGATGCAACCAAACTATTCGTGGACAATCAAAGTGCAGTACGCCTAGTGCAGAACGCAGAATTCCATAAGCGCACGAAGCATATCGACGTAAAATTCCATTTTATTCGAGAGCAACAAGAAAGGGGAGAAATCGATGTTACATATGTGGAATCGGACAAACAGCTCGCAGACATCATGACGAAACCATTAAGTATTAATAAATTTAATTTGTTAAGAGTACAGTTTGGCATGAAACATTTGTGATGTATTAATTTGTGTTTGTCAATGTAATTAGCTTATGAAATGGAGATATGAAAGCGAAAATTTAGTGGGAGTGTTAAATTAAATTTGCCGCTTTCATTATTTCCCCCACCGATCTTGTACTTGTATGACTATGATGCGCACTCTTTTCGCTGCTGTATGTCAACCCACAATGTACTAATTAAAGTACTGCTCTTTTTGTTATTACGCTGCCTTTATTCACAACCCCAAACTTAACAACCATTAGTGATACTGGATTGCACACATACATTTTGACCAATTTTTTCATTTGCCAATTCTTGTTTTATTACGTTTGTTGCTTTAGCAAGATCTCGAAAATGTGTTCTTCGTGATGATGATGACTCACTGTAATTAGCTCTATTCTTTTTCTTTGTTGGTAACGACTGACCTCCTTGCATCCCTTCCACCATTTCTATCCTTTGTAAATCTAAACCAATTTGTGATCACAGTATTGATCTCATCATCAGTCGCATTTACAGTGCTTCGATTTTTGCGAACTATTCCTAAATGAAGTAAATAGTATTAGCTCTACAATTAATTTGGCACAGCAATACTGACCTGGTATTAACTTGATAACATTCAAAACTTTTAGTGCTTGTTTTTTGTTCTTTCCAGTCCAATTATACAAAACAGCAACTTCATTAGTAAATAACCTTTCTAATATCTTCCTTACAATATGTGCGACCTTTTTCCCTCCAATACAAGTTAAATTCGTTACCTGTGATACATACAATCTACGATTTTGTTGATATAATGAAGAACAACTTACCAAAATTTTAACATTATCTCCCACTAACAACCAATTCTCAAGATAATTAACTTCGTCAATTGAATTACATGGGAGCTTTACATCATCCGGTAAATTGGCAAAAGATGTGGGCTCGTTAGGGCACAATTTTTCAGAAATATTTTTAAGACACTGCTCTAAGTAGTCTAGCCTTTTATCAATTCGTGCAAGATGTCTTGCAATGGCTTCCAACCCTGAAATTTTGTTTATAAAATAGACATAAGACCTGAATATGCATGTTATGTTATGTCATCACAAACAATCACATATCTTACCATTAGATTGGTGCGGTGTAGTGGTGGGAGTGTTATGTAATAATCGAACAGACCTCGAGGTGTTGGGAGTATCAAAACCCTGAGGCAATTGGGTAGAAGGAATGTCACTCCTTTCTGATAAATTATCATCAGTTTGATTCTGTTCATTTAATATCTCAGCTGTGAACAATTAAGGCGCGTCCAGACATGGCGAACGAGCGCGAACAAGCGTTGGCGAACGCAAACAAGCATCGACGAGCGGAAAGCAGAGAATTTTCTTTAAAACGAGCGCGAACGAACAATTCGCGGCCATTTTTACCATTCGTTTGTGTTCCACAGTTTTCTGTTTTCGAGCATGGATTCGACTCGAAAAAAAAAAATAATAGTAGCAAGTGCTGCGTTTTTGTTTCTGAAATTAAACGAGAAAAAACGCAGAAGGTGCCGTCGATGGTGGATGACATCAATATTTAGAGACAGAGAAAACCGTAATGCTTCAGAATTATTGCTTACCCTTACACAAGAAGATTCCGGGCATTTTACAAATTTTTCCAGAATGACTGCCACTGATTTTGAAGAATTGTTGCAATTAATAGGACCAAAAATAGTAAAAAAGGACACTTATTACAGAGAAGCTATTCCAGCAAAAGAAAGACTAAGTGTGACTTTAAGATTTCTTGCAACAGGGGATTCCTACGCCAGCCTTAGTTATCTATTTAAATTTTCCAGAGACTTGTTATAACTAGAGAGCGGATTAATAAGCATAAAACATTTTAGAAAAAGCACATAAAAAGCACAACAAAATTGCCAAAAAAGTTTTATTTTTACAGTAAAAAGCATATAAAAAGCAGAACAAAATTTCCAAAAATCTTAGTTTTATACAAATAAAGACATATGCATGTATTATTTTCTATTCGTTTTCTTTAAAGCAGTGAATAATAGCAAATTGTTCCAAGTGTTGCATTGTTAAATTTCTTCTACGTTCGCTAAGTATGTTTTTTAAAGTAGAAAAACTGCGTTCAACATCTACACTAGTTATTGGTGCAAATTTGAATTTTGGTACAATTGTAGTATCTATGTCTAGATCTTCCACAAATTCACCTTGTAACACCCGAGCTACTTTTAATAAAACTTCAAATCCACTATTTTTATTGAAGACATCTTGTAATTTTCCATGGACGACACGCCCAAGTTGTCCTGGTACTGCTTGGATCTGTTCTTTAAAATCTTGAATTATGCCAGTTGATTCAACTAACGGTACACTTTGTTTCTCTAATTTGGCTATCACAGTGCATATAAAGGTGTAGTTTCCTTTTAAAAATGCCAAATCTTGACGCAACTTTTTATTTTGAAAAATATTTACGCAATTCTTAACGGATTGGGTAGCCTCTGCATCAAATTGCGTAACGACTTCTTCGAACTGGTTAATGTATGTACTGTAGTAGGAAGCCGCTTCTAGCCATGTTCCCCATCGGGTTAAAATTGGTTCTGGGGGTAAGGGTAAATCTGGGAATTTTTCTTTAAATTGTTGTACCCTTAGTGGTGCTTTTACAAAAATTTTTTTACCGTTGGAAATTAATTTATTAACTTCCGGAAATTGTAGCCGTACAGTTTCTGCTACTCTGTTTACCCCATGTGCGACGCATGTACAGTGAATTAAACTTTCGTACAAAATTTTTAAATTGCGTCCAGCTTTTAACATGTACGCCGCGTCGCCGCGGCATCAGAAATCATCAATAAAATCTTAGTTGTAGGCACAGCATTTGGCAGAAACAATGATGTAAGACTTTCATTGACAAATCGAGTTATTGTATCACTGTTCGTTTTTGGCAATTCTTTCAAACTCACCACATACCCTTGTGTAGCAATGTCTTCATTTAAAACGCCAACTATTAAACTTGCTACATATCTACCACAACTATCGGTGGTTTCATCCACCGCAAACCATATATAATTGTTTCCGATTAATTGCTGAATTTTTCTATATACTTGTAGAAACACGGGCTCCACGTAGGGTTGCCAGGTGTCCTGGATTTCGCAGGATGTCCTGGATTTGAGGCTATAACTTAAGCGTCCTGCGAAGACCTCAGGAAGGACGCCTAATGTCCTGGATTTTAAAAAAGATTAAATAACAAATTGATTTTTTTACGCGGCGCTGCGCCCGTGCCATTTTTCGTTTATTACGAACGTAATTATATACTCGCGCCATCTTTTGATGAATAGAAAAAATACCATACTAACCACAGATCGCTTTTCGGCATGTACGCGTGTCTCCAACAAACAGCGCGAGCGCGACGGACCTGCGCGGTGATTTGGCGATTTGTGGTGTTTACTAAATGTTGGGTTTTGAGGACTGAGGTTATAATTTATAATATTTAGTACCAGGTATTCAGTAATTCAGTTATTACTGTTGTCAGCAGCCTGCAAGTATATAGTTGTTTATTATTTTTTAAAGTGTTTAGTAAACCTTATATGCATTTTCTTTCTGACCATTAGAAATTAAAAGGTAAGTTTTTTGGGTTGAAAAATATTTTGATACTTACTAAAGCATTTTTTGTGCTTCTTTTAGTATTTTGTAAAATGGATGAACAAGATGGTCCAACAACACCTCCAAAAAAGGCTAAAAGAATAAATAAATATAGAAAAGAATGGGAAAATACCTTTAATTGGCTCACAGAAGATAATCAAAAAGCTAGGTGCAATTTATGTAAAAAGTCTTTTTCATGTATGTATGGAGGTCTGGGTGACATAAAGAGGCACGCGGAAGGTGCTGATCATAAAAAACACGAAGTTGTGGTAAAACAAAATAAAACACTACAATCATTTTTGGGTCAAACAGAAGCTATGAACTCTCAGCAAGAAAAAATACTGGCCGCAGAAGTGACAAACGTGTATCACACTGTTAAACATGCTCATTCCTATAATTCATTAGATTGCACAACGCAGTTGCTTTCAGTAATGTATTCTGATTCCCATATTGCAACAAAAATTCGTTTGGGTAGGACAAAAGCAAGTATGATTGCTTTTAATGTCCTTGCCCCGTTTTCAATACAAAGTCCATTATGTGAGCTTAGCAAAGGAGTATTTTTTGGAATCTCTACAGATGCCTCCAATCATGGAAGCGCTAAATTATTCCCAATACTTCTAAGGTATTGCATTATTAAAGGTATTATATTTTTTAAGTTAAGATTTTTGTAGATATTATACACCATCAGAAGGAGTAAAATTATTTCTTCTTGATTTTTTCGAAGATCCCGACGAAAGCGCAAATGCCATTTACACCAATATAAAAACTAGAATTGAAAAAGCAGGCCTTTCATTAAACAACATGTCATGCTATTCGGCTGATAATGCAAGTGTAAATTTTGGACGCTTTCATTCTGTGTACCAATTATTATATAAGGAGAATAATTCAGTTCTTGCTGTGGGTTGTCCTGCGCATATGGTGAACAATTCTATAAAAAATGCTTTAGCAAAATGCCGTTTTGATGTGGAAACTTTGGTTTTAAAAACTTTCAGCCATTTTTCATCTCAAGCAAAAAGGTGCAAAGAGTTAAAAGATTTTTTTAATTTCGTGGATTTGGAATATAAAACTATTTTAAGGCATGTGCCAACTCGTTGGCTAAGTTTATTTCCAGCCATAGAAAGATTACTGAACATTTTCCCAGCCATCAAAAGTTACTTTCTTTCCAGGGAAGAAATTATTCCTATTGCACTTCAAGTTTTTTTCTCTGAAGACAATTTTATTGTACAGAAAACTGAATGTTATTTAAGTTTTTTTCACAACATACTGAAAATTGTTTTTGATACAGAGCAAAAACTTGAAAAAGCCGATTTACTTTGCTTCGAGGTTTATAATATTTTAAAATCTCTAAGAGAAAAAATTAATCAACGAATAAATGACAATTTTTTTGGCTTCCTAGCGTCAAACATGTTAAAAACTTTTGCTCCTAATGAACAAAGTCAAATAAGGGAATCCTTTTTAGAATTTTATAAAAATATTGTAATTTATCTTGATTCTAAATATGACTTTTCAGAAAATAATTTGTTTTCAAAATTAAATATTTTTTCTTTAAAAACAACTTTTAATTTTGACTCACTGATGGAAGTGGTAACCAACCTATCAATTGATGTAAATTTTGATAACCTATACGAAGAATTTTGTACAATTAAACCTACTATTGATAAAGCTTGCACTTTAACTGAGGAGTCTATTATACAGAAATGGAATAACATATTCCTAGGAAATCCTGAACTTATTAATTTTCTAAAAATAATACAATTTGTTTTTTCAATATACGGCTCAAATGCTGACTCTGAAAGAATTTTTTCTTTATGTAGTGCAGCTTGGAGCGACAGCCGCAATAAGCTCCTAGTTGATCATGTAAAAGCTGAGCTTCAGATTAAAACAAATTTTAATTTAAAGTGCAAAGAGTTTTACAATATAGCTGTTAAGAATAAAAGGCTGTTGCAAGCAGTCAAATCTAACCAGAAATATTCTTTCTCATTCAAATAACAATAATTTTTAAAGCATTTTCAAGCTCTTATATATCATTTATTTTTACAATATAAGTAGTAATGTAACCTATTTTAATTAATAAAAAAAAATTTATTTGTAAAATAAACGTTTTAAGTTCAAAATAAAAACATGTCCTTCTTTATTTTTATGCGTCCTTCATTTTTTAATCTTGCGTCCTGTGATTTTTAAATTTGAACCTGGCAACCCTAGCTCCACGTAATTTTTGCGAAGAGTAGTCTCAGCCGGGATGTGCCTATTGCAATAGGTTTGCAGGAATTGACGAAACGGGCCGTTTTCCAACTTCTTTAAAGGTATATTGGCCTGAATCATCATTTCACATAAATCAAAATTAAACTTGAATTGTTCGTCCTGTCGCGAAGAGGATGCAACAGATTGTTTGGATTTTTCAATTTCAAATTTTTTCCGCCTTTCTACATGAAGAGTGGTTTGTACATGTTGCGTGACGTTATATTTTTTATCATTTTGTATCTATGCAGAATTATTTTCTTATTAGCTACTTACCTATTAAAATTAAACAAACACTCACCGTTTTAACGCAAGCTCTGCAAAATATTCTACCATTTTCGATTTTTAATTCAGGAAAACCCCTTATCCATTCATCCGGTGTGGATTTTTGTTTTGGCATTATTCCCTAATAAAGGTGACTAATAGATAAAAGAAAATGGTCTGCAAACCACAGGAACGTTCATTCACTAACAATAACGCGGTATGATTCACTCCTTAGTAAATGCAGCGCCAGTAGAATTTGATGAACCAGTGATCACAGATGGCATTGAACAGATTTCGTTAGGTTGATCGTAAAAAATCGTGATAAATCGTGAGAATTCCATTTTGAATGGCAAAGCAGCGGCGTGTTAATTTTTTCTTTACAATTTTTAATATAGTGGACCTTTGTACTTACCAAAGTAAAAATTCAAATACATTAATACATATATGAAATAAAACAAGGTAATATGTATACAAAATTATATTTTTAATCAGAGTCTAAATCAGACCCCTCATTTTCTTTGTTTTTGTACAAATCAGTACTATTCATTTTCTTACACATCTCTTTGTTTATTTCAAACTTATCGCATTGACCGCCTTCGGAAACCAAACTTTTTGTTAGTAGTATACCCTCCAAGGTACTACTAATTAATCTGTTTCTCATATTGGTTTTATTCAAATTTATTTGAGAAAAACACCTTTCTACATTCGCACTGGAGTGCGGTAAAGATAATAAATTAAATACGAAAGCAATTAATTTACCAAATTTTTGTTCACCGGTACCCAATTTTATTTTAGAAACTTTCCGCCAAAATGATACGATGTCATCACCAATACATAAATTAAAATCATCAAAATTTATATTTCGCAACATTCTCCATTGACTATCGATGTCTTGAAGACTATGGGAGTGCAGATTGGAAAAATGTGACACAACATCGGCAATAGATTTAACTTTTCTATTTACAACAGTCTCTGGATCCATGAAATCCAATTTTGAAAAAATAGAATCTTTTAAGGGAAATCTAGACAAGATCTGTTTTAAAGATTCAATATAAAATTGAAGGCATTGCTTTTTAATTTGCAAAAGGGTCTCTGAATTAGCACTGCTATTTATTACGGCGCCAAAGTACATTTCTTCAATATTTTGGAAGTTCCGTGGATTTTGGAAATCTATCTCGTAAACATTTAATTTACTCATGATACTGTCTTTAATAAAACATTCCATAATTGTTTTTATGGTGTTGCTGACTTCTTTATAAATAGTATGAATTTGTGGCTGTTCACTTTGCATTAACGTATTTAATTTATTAAAAAATGGTAAAGCATAAGCCAAAAATTCTAAGTACAATTTTGTTTCAGGTTGTTGAAGAAGGTGTAAAATAGAAAATGCTGCTTGATCTTTTTTAGATGATGCTTTATCCGTAAAGTATAGCGTTAAAGCGCCGTATTGAGTGAGTAACCTAGTGACAACTGACTCTAGTGACAGCCATCTTGTAGAAGATGGGTGTAGCATTTTTACTGGAGATACATTAGCAAATTGTTGAAATTCTTTCAATTCCTCAGTTCTTTTGGGACTATTGGAAAAGTAATTATAAACATATCTGGCGAATTTTTCAACTTCTTCAGGAAGCTTTTCGCACGCATATGACGCGCAAAGGTGGAAACTGTGACATATGCATTTCATGACAAATATTCCAGGTATAAGTTCTTTGATACGACTTACGACAGAATTTTGGCCCCCCATCATATTATTTGCTCCATCAGAAGCAAAACCGATACAGTTTTGTTTAAAATCAATTCCATACTTATTGAAAAATTGAATTATATGTTCAAACAAAGCTGCGCCAGTAGCGTCATGTATTGGAATTAACGCCAAAAAGTAGTCTTTTACATTATTGTTATTACAATTTATCCTTGCAACTAGGCACAAATTTTTAGTGCACGAGCGATCAGTTGACTCATCGGCAATTAAACTAAATTTGTTACTGTTCATCAAAGCTATTAGATTTTGCCGATGAGTTTCACCTGTTACGTTTGTAATAATTGATTTAATTTTGGTAGGACCGCATTTGATTTTTTTAGCGATGGCCGAGTCACTGCACACAGCACGCATTAAATCTGGAAGATGTTCCATTATCTTAAATGGAAGATTATGTTCCGCGACAAAACCGGCAATTCGTATCTCGGCTTCTTTTGCCCTCATCTCTGTGGTCATTTCTTTTGTCTTCTCAGCAAACATGGACGTAATGGTTTTTTGTCCTACGGTAGATACACAAGATTTCGTATGTTTTGATGTATACTCGTGTTTTACCAAATCACCCTTTCCATGGGTGATTTTTATGTCACATTTGCATGCTTTACACCTATATAAAATTAAGCTATATTTAACACTTTGTGTTCCGTATGAACTATAGGCGTAACTTACCAACCAAAAGATGCTCCATTTTGGCTTTCTTGTAACCATGGCATTTGTTTCTCCCAATCCTTCTTGTATTTTTGTTTGTACGCCAATTTAGGCCTCTTACGCGACGTTGAAGCCGAAGGTGAACTATCATCTGTGTCACTATCAACACGATTTGAATCGGAACCGGAAGACATTTTCGCTTCAGCACATTAGTGATTAATAGTTTATTTAGTTACGTATATTGTCAATAATAAAGTTGATGAAGAAACCCGAGTATACGTACAGGTACGGTCCAAACTGACTATGACTAATGAAATTAGCAAATTTGCATTAGAAACCGAACTGTGCGGTGTGCCAAAGTTAAACTGACTAATTAAAAATTAAAATCTCTCTATCTATAATAGGTATGCGTAAGGATTTCTACAAGACAATAATTCCTTAGTAAAAGTAATATACGCTGAGCGCGCAAGCCGACATCTGAGTGGCCAGGGATAAGGCAGCGTGGAAAAACACAACACAACACATCATGATTCATTCAACATTCACGTCGGTATCACGTTACTAACGTTACGCTTACGCTGCTTCAGCTCATTCTTTACTCATATCCATATGACTGTTGAATCAGCTGAATGTGCTATTGTTTTAATAACTGTTTCGTTTTGTGCATATAAATTTTATTCATGAATCAGATTAAAAAATTGAAAGTATTTTTTGAAATACGGAAAATCTTGAGATTTACTACTGTATTCGTGAGATCGTGAGATGTAACTCAAGATCGTGAAATCTCACGATAAATCGTGAAATCTGGGATCACTGTGAACAGCTGTGTGGCTGTGATTTACGCGTCTCGGTGTAACTTCTGTAATCGCTGCGTGCAGGTGAACGTGTTAACAGTCTTTTATTTTCATAGAATCAGCAAAAAAGCATTAAATAAGCATATTAACGTCAATAAGCATTTCTCTTTAAAAAAAAGCTGAAAAAGCATAACAAAGTATGGTCGGTATGAATCAAAATGCGAAATTAGGTCTAATATTTTGAATAGTTTTGGCGTGCTTATAATACTCACGATAAGCATAAAACCTAGATATCCGCTCTCTAGTTATAACTAGACCGCGCGTAACGTAGATTTTACTATAAACGCCTGTTCTGCCCTGCTAAGCACAGAGGGGGTATCTACAACAGAGGTAAACTTGAGAAATGGAGGTCTAAAGTTGTATGTTATCCATTTTTGCTTTTGTATAGGCTTAATATATCAAATCATAGTTATTCAATTAAAAATTGTTTCGCCTATTTGAAACCAACGTTTTGTAACTATAAACCTTCATTTAT